CCCAATTAGAACTATTTTATCTGAGAAAAGTATATACCAAGTCACTTTACTTTATATATCATTTGTAAACATATCCAAAACTAGTACAAACTATAGAAACTCAAGCTAATTCTTGATATAAGCATACTATAATTGGGCATTCATTGGTAATCAACAACTACTGTTAATACTAACTAATAGTAATTCTTGACACATGTTTTCCTTAATTCACAGCAAGTTAATTTTTAAAGTAATTGATCACAAAATTTCTCAAAATTAATAAAAATTTTCTAAATATATTTTATCAGCACTTTATATTTTTCCATTTATTTCTTTAACACAAAAAGTCAATTCCATAATAGAACTTCCTCCTATAAAATCGGAATGTTTCTCAAATATTGATGTAATTTTTCCACATTTGTACTCTATTTTTATTATCCCCAATGAATTTATAATATAACTCAAAAGTTGATTCCTCGATAATTAGCACAACCCCTATTATCTTTATTTTTCTTAATTAATACTACAAAATGCTTCTTCTACAATCATTTCACATTCTTTCAATCTTCAAAAAAGATCTCTAAAGAATTCTTAATCCAATAATTACAATATCACTCATAACTCCAAATCTCAATATGTATCTCATATGAACCTTAAGATTTACCTTTATGTATCTCAATATTTATCTCATATGAACCTTAAGATCTAACTTTATGCATCTTTTACAAAGTTAACTTCTCAATGTTGTTGAATCAATTGCTAGTATACCTCACACAATTTTTTAAATTATACACTTATACTAATTTCTTAGTTATGGATGGTCTTACTGAACATCAACAAGAGGACGACAAACCTTAGTGTATGCTTTTTGTTGATGATATCCTTCTCGTGGATAAAAAGAAAGAAAAAGCCCAGGAAAAACTTCAATTATGGAGGTCTACATTGGAATCTTAAGGCCTTCATTTAAGTAGAACTAAAACTAAATACATGGAATGTAATTTTAGTAGTAGCTCTAGTGACAGAAGTGTGACTTTGGGTGATCAAATTATTAAAAGGTGTGAACGATTTAGATATCTTGTGTCTGTTGTTCAAAACGATGGTGATATAGATGGGGATGTTAATGGTAGAATTCCAGCACGATGGTGATATAGATGGGGATGTTAATGGTAGACTTCCAGTTTGTTGGTTGAAGTGGAGGAATGCTTCGGGCCTTTTGTGTGATAGAAAAGTACAAAGTACCGCTTAGACTGAAAGGAGACTGAAAGGAAATTTTATAAGGCGGTGGTGAGACCTGCAATGCTCTATGGCGCTGAATGTTGGCCTTTAACAGAGAAGCATAATAATAAGTTAAGTGTTGCTGAGAAAAGAATGATTAGGGGGATGAGTGGCTTTACACTACAAAATGCAAAATGAATATATCCGTGATAGGGTAGGTGTAGTCCTGTGATCGAACATAATTAGAGAAAGCTGTCTTAGATGGTTTGGTAACATTAATCGGTCACATTAAACGTGACCATCTGATGATCCGATTGGGAGAGTAGATGTTTTAGATTTGACTTGTGTTAAGAAAGGCAGAAGTAGACCTAGGAAGACTTGGCTTATTGTATAAAAAATGATCTTAATTTACTAGAACTAAATGAAAATATGACACTAAATAGGACGCAATGGAGAAAAAGGATTCATGTAATCGACCCCACGTAGTGGGATTAAGGCTTTGTTGTTGTTGATGTTGTACACTTATACTAATTTCTTCCTTGAAATGATAATATCTATAAGTAGCTTCTTCATATTTTCATATACTTTCAATAGAATTATGATTTCTTATCTCTAATCTTAGTTGTTGCATAAATACTCTTTCCTTTGTAATATACTAATACATAAATTATAAAAATCATAGCCTTTATTTTTACTCATAACAATCTTTGCAAGCTCTCAAAATTATAATCATCATAAGCCTCAACATTATTTATCTTTTTTCACTTTTCAAGCACTTTTTCTTTAATGATCTTTTGTACCATTTCAATCATGTATCAAGTCTCCATGAGAAAGTATGGTCATTTCTAAATTCCGCTAAAACTTTTGTGACAATCTTCATCAAAGCCCACATAAAGTTTGGCACAAGTAAAGAATTCCAATTTGCTTCTTATACTAAACTATCTTGAAAGTTTTAAAAATCAACAACGATTCAAGTTCTACCTTCTTCTACTATAGTGATTATTTTTTTATCATTTTCTTCATAGTCTAAAAATATACATCGTAACAACTATCCTATATTATGTAGTTTAACTTGTTAATTATAACCTTATAGTATTTATAAGAAAATTAACCTTCTAAGTGCAAGTTAATTTGTGAATTGGTGTAATTATGTGTTGATTCTTGATTTTTAAGTATATATTTATTATCGCAAGTGACACAGGAAAATCAAGAAAGACTTTTTCTATACATTATATCTCCTATTTCACAATCATAATTAAGCCTCTTAAAGCCCATCCAACAAGAACCTATACATCAATTTAAGTAATCCTAATAATTATACTTTCTTCCTCTGGTATACAATATAATAACTCATTAATCTCTTCCAAAAATTGATTTTTACACTATTCAATATATCAAATTGAAAGCTTAAGCATCAATCATATTTAGAATGCCAACATCAATAATTAACTTAACAACAATGACCCTACCACAACCTCTATCAAGCTCAACAACTTTATCTTTCAACATTACATACACTAATATCTCAACCTTCATTCTATTTTTAACCTTACCAGCATACAATAACCAATAATCTTCTCTAATATCCTTGGCTTGCTGCCCTTCAAATTTAGTTTATTACAAATCAACAATATTTATTCTTCTTTTAATCATTGTGTCCACCAATTCTCATCTTCTACTCCAACTCCCCAAATTCCATGTAGCTTACTACAATCTAAGTTTTAGACCAAACAACACCTTAATCATTTTGCACCATAAACAAGTCAAACTATAGTTTGCCACTTAAAATGAAAATCTAACTAGTCTTTTCTTAATCTCTAAATGCATTGCAAAATGAGTTTCAGAAAAAAGACAAAGAAGCATAAAAACTTCAGAAAAAAAAACTTCATTTCTCAGATAAAAGAGATTAACATTCACAAGCTCTGTTCTTAGACACAAAGAAAGAAATTCATAATAATATGTAAATCAAATTATGAAATTCAAACATGGAAACCGACAGTCTCATTGTATAGACAATTATATTTCAAAAAAATAGCCAAAACAAAGTAAAACAGTTAATGTGATGAAGAACAAATAAAATGAAAATGATTATATCCACATCTGAACCCTTGATAAGAGGAAAATGCAAACTCTGCTGCGGCAAAAAACATGCCATTGATGAAAGAATAAAAAATAAAAAAAAAAACCAGATAACATACCACTCAAATCATATGCTTACATATCTAACACCTAAAATTTACTATTTACATTTATACCACCCAAACCATTCTTATCATATGATGCCACTATTTTAACTTCTGAAAAGTGAAATACATCTTTACAGGCATATGTAAAGCGGCATATATGTAAAAATGAAGTTTAGGTGTTAGATATGTAAATACATAAGAATTAAGGGGTATGTATATAAATCTTCCTAATTGTAATAGCTAAAAAGTGGAGCAACAAGAGCATACCTTAACTGCCGATCCCATTTCGGCCTCATATATAGGAATGTCATTTCTGCTAACAATGATGAAGCAAGCTGTGCTCGCCATTGTCTACGAAAATAAGAGCACAAATCTTAGATTGGTTGTTCCTAGACTCAGTAACCTGCATTCCAACTTAGTTTATTAACTCTCCATCATGTTAAAAAACAAGCAAATTTCAGCAATATCCTGGTAAATAAGAACTTGCTGGAATTTTTAGAATAAAACTACATAAGCAAATAACTATCCACACATCAAAACATCATCAAGGAAAATGATAATAATAATAATAATAATAATAATAATAGCAGCAGCAGCAGTACTAATAGTAGTAGTAGTAGTAGTAGTAATAGTAGTAATAATAATAATAATAATAATAATAATAATAGCAGCAGCAGCAGTACTAATAGTAGTAGTAGTAGTAGTAGTAATAGTAGTAATAATAATAATAATAATAGTAATAATAATAATAGTAATAATAATAATAACAATAATAAGAGCGTGAATCTTAAATTGTTTGCAGCAGCATTAGTAGTAATAATAATAATAACAATAATAAGAGCGTGAATCTTAAATTGTTTGCAGCAGCATTAGTAGTAATAATAATAATAACAATAATAAGAGCGTGAATCTTAAATTGTTTGCTCATTAGACTCATAAATCCATCTCCTAAAACAAGTTGAGCAATACCATGGTGGCAAGGACTTGGTGAAACATATAGAATGAAGTTACATAAGCAAGTAAAACTCAAACATCAAACCATCAATTTCTGCTAAATATTAAATGCATTGTAACTGAAAAAATGCACTTATCTCACATAAAAAACTCACAACATGAACACTATTCTAGCATTCTTTCAAATTCAATGCACAATAAAACCACAAAAAAAATGTATCATCACATTGTACTATCTCCCATAAATAGATAGATCATTTTATGAATAAGAGACGACTGACACGACATATTACTGTTCATTACCGTTTACTCATCTTTCTGTCTCTGACTCTATTCTTACGCTCTATTCTTTCGGTGTGATTCACAGATAAATCAGGATTCAACATCCTAAAAATGCGATGAGCATGAATCATACAACAAACAAAAAGAGTAGCTTAAAGAGAAGGCAATATAGAGTGCACTAGAGAGTTTGTAACTCAACAGAACCAGGAGTAGAAGGATCACATGTTGAATGTCATCTGAGACGCACTGGCTCAGAGAAAAGATCAGCACCCCCAAAAAGGAAGGGTTGGCGCCCAACAGTCAAAGAGTCCTCCCAACCCTGGAAAAGGAAGATGAATCCCAGTACTTCAATAGAGATGGGTCGGCTTCGATCAACCAGCATCAGTTAGGGCATATTGAGGTGTTCGACATCCCAAGAATAGATCTCCTCATCACAATATTAAAATGATTATCCAAAACTAACATAGTTTTTATGATTATACATTCTGTTAATCTCCACCATATCATCATTGCATGACTTACAAGCTTGAATTATTTATAATTAGCACGATATTAATCATCTCATTTATTCTTAAATATTAACAATAAAACTATTCTTCTCCAATTAATTTACATCTTAACAGTAATTATTTTATGGAAATGATTTGTCTTACAAACTAATATAATATCCGTTATAACTCTCGCAACATCAACATAATATCTAACGCAAATCTAAAGTTGTAACTCCAAGCATCTTCTCCAAAGCTAAACTGGCTTAAATTTTTTTTGGATTAGTTTATAACATACCTCGTTATTTAGTTCATAAGGCTTTTCCAAGAAAATTTTCTTCTTTAGATACCCCTTTAATTCTTTATTAAAGAAGCATTTCATCTTTCTTGTACCAATTCATCCTTAAATAATTACTTTTAATACATTTGATTTAATCAAAATGCTTAAATCCATTATCTCTTCCTTTATCTCTTTTATTCCTTAATACCAAGCATATAATGTAAATCATCAAAAGTTGCACTGTATGCTTTTTTGCTGCAAGTTTTCTATTTTTCTTATGATCATTAAAGGCCTTAATAACATTCATTTTTTACCCTTCTTTAAAGCTTTTTTTTTTTAATAACAATTTATGTACCATTTCACTCTATAATTAGGTCTCGTTTTCATTGTATAATCCATTTTTAAACTCCTTGAATACAAATTACAATCTTCTTAATTAGCTATTCATCTTATCTCAGATCAAATTTGGGTCAGTGTTTTCAAAGGGTTAAGCACAATGCAAAATGCAAGAATACTTTCTTCCTTTTTATTTTTCTTTTTTTTTACACAATCCGCAAAGGCGACACCTTAACCACTCTAAGCATTTATTAGTTGTACAACATATGCCCATAAAATATGTACATATAATAGTTATTTAATTAACAACTATAAATCACATCAGGTAATAATTTTTCAACAGCTATAGTAATACGTCAATACAATACATTCTAATTATTCAAAAGTTAAAAGAAAATGAATAAAGATATAAATGACAAACAATTATGTGATGTAATAACATACCCAAAAATCAAGCATATAATTGTAAGATTGAATGACCAACTAGAAACCCGAGTGGTAGAAGCAATACGAAGTGAGGGAGAGAGTGAATACAAGGCAAAGAGAAATGTTATTAAGAAGTTCGTAAGTGAGATGCGTGAGTACTGGTAAAAAAAACCTACAAAAATTCAAGAGTGTGCGAGAAGAGGAAAATCACCAGGAAATGATTAGCTTTAGTGCATATATTCATTTAATTCTCTTAAATTAAGGTATTTTTTTTATACAACATGACCAAATCTTTTTAGGTCCACCTCTACCTCTCTTAAAATAAATTGAATCAAAAACATCCACTCTCTCAACTAGATCATCAGATAGTTGACATTTAATGTGACCAATCCATTATTTTTTTTATACAACATGACCAAATCTTTTTAGGCCCACCTCTACCTCTCTTAAAATAAATTGAATCTAAAACATCCACTCTCTCAACTAGATCATCAGATAGCTGACATTTAATGTGACCAATCCAGCTAAGATAACTCTCTCTAATCATGTCTACTACTAGAGCTACACCAACCCTTTCACAAATATAATCATTTCGCATTTTGTCTCGAAGTGCAAAGCCACCATCCACCTAAGCATTCTCATCTCAGCAACACTTAATAATTTTATACTTCTCTTTTATAGGCTAATATTCTGTGTCATAAAGCATTGCAGGTCTCACTAACATATTATAAAACTTTCATTTAAGTATAAGCGACAATTTTCTATGACACAATAGGCTAGATGTATTTCTCCAATTCAACCATCCAACTTGAATTCTACTAATAACATCCCCTTCTGTATCACCATCACTTTCAACAATAGACCCGAGATACCTAAAGTGTTCACTTCTTTTAATGACTTGATCACCCATTCTTATAACCTCACCATTAGATTCACTACTACTAAAATTACATTTCATATATTCAATTTTAGATCCACTCAAAACGAAAGCCTTCTCACTCTAAAGTTGATCTCCACAATTCAAGTTTTTCTTAAACTATTTCTCTGATCATATCCACAAGAAGGATATTATCAGCCAAAAGCATACACCAAGGTACATCTTCACGTAAATGTCTAGTAAGAACATCCGAAACTAAAGCAAAAGGATATAGGATTAAAGCTTCAGTGAAAGAGAACAAAAAAATAGAGTTGAGACTTATGCACTATGATAAATAAAGAGATAAATTAACAAAACGCCTAATAATTATTATAGATATTGAATTAAAACATGACATCAATATAAGAATTTTGCTTTATACAATAGCTAAGCACTACAACATAACATCGCAAAAAGATGATACATGAATGTTTTTTTGTGAGTTACACTTCAGAATCAAGTGATACACAAATTCCATGTATCGCTTCGCTGCACTCCTTAAAGATGCTTTGAAACGTGGTTTTAATAACAATAGTTTGAGCAAACTGAAAAATTCAGTTTGTTTCTTTCGACATTCTTATCCTGAATTTTCACCTTACAAATGTCACCACCTTATCTTAAGATAATTACCTTTTTAGATTGTTTTTATTAATTCTAAATATCATATCTACAACTATGACTCGATTTTGAAATGTCCAAATATCTTCCATAATCACCTCCAAATTGTCAAAAGAAACAAAGGAAGTCAACTTGAGAATTAGTGAATCTGTTTTAGTAAGTAATTAAGTATGCACCTCTTTTCTTATCTTCATTACTGTGAAATAGATATAATTTCTACCATTGCATTTTTATCTCCAACTCTATAACCACCATCAATCTTCTCATTGCTCGTCCTAATAAATTTTGTATGGCATTTAAGGTTCTATTTGGGGGTAGTTGCAGCTTATTGAATAAGCAGCTGTGAAACTATTTTTCGGATAAGCTGCTATTAGAAAGCAGCTGATGGTGAAATAGTTTGTATATTTGAATGATCTACTGTGTTGCAACCGTTTTTGAGAAAAAAATTGTTATACCCTTATGTATATATATTATCAATAACCCCATAGTTTTAGAAATAATTCAAATAGAACAACATAAATAAATTTCAACAATAAAAAAAAGTCAAAATTCATTATTATACTACATCAAGTGTAATAAATCACTTAATACATAATAACATAATACTAAAAATTACAATAACAAGAATTAATGTTATTATAATATTTTCATTCATGTTTAAACAATCACGTTCATGAAAAGATAGAAATAATCTGCCATGAGAATCAAAATAAGGCAGAGGGCCTATGAAAAGGGGGATATTGTTGACTTAAAAATATTTTAAGATGAGCTCGTATATATCAAAATTTATAGCAGCATAAAGGTCATCCAAAACCATGAGACAATCAAAATAAGGCATAGGACCTATGAAAAGGGGGATATTGTTGACTTAAAATATTTTAAGATGAGCTTGTATATATCAAAATTTATAGCAGCATAAAGGACATCCAAAAGATTCCCAAAAGTCGTGTGACTCATCATAACCCCCCAATATCTAATACTTGATATAACATACATGAAGAATTGGTAGGCACTTTGGGGAGATTGTTACATTTCTAATTATAAGTATACTAACCAATAATCCAAAATTTTTATGTATATGAGTTTTACATTCTCAATCTCTTAACCAACATATTTATCAAACCAAACTATCATTGTGCAAGCATAAAACCAAATTTGTGAATCATGGTGGTTAACCCACCCTAGGTGACATCAATCGATGGATAGCAAGTGGAAACCATCACAAAGAGCGCAAACTTGCAGGGAAAGAAAGTCCATTTCTTCACTAGGTAACACAAAAAGAAGATGATGAATACACTATAGCAAGGAGATCATATTACTTTACCATATCAAAACCATCACAAAGAGCGTAAACTTGTAGCTAGGGAAGGAAAGTCCATTTCTTCACTAGGTAACCCAGAAAGCAAATAAGGAAGATGATAAATACACTATAGAAAGAAGATCATATTATGTTACTCTATGAAGAATATTCATTAGAAACAGGGCCACTAATCACATTCACACTAATCATATTCACCCAATCCAAGCCTGAAATTCTCATCCTAAATAGCACATATACTAGAACACCACAAGGTTCTCGTCAATCACAAATTCAAAATAACACAGAACTTCCAGCATAACCTCATAACACAGCTGACATTCATCATAATTCCAAACACAACTCTCAACATACATTCTCAACATATGACAATAAACACATATAACAACAAACCAAAAAAAAAAAAAAAGCAAATTGACATTGTAAACACAAAGAATAACATAACCCGATAGCACGGCAAGAATTCATCATAATTCTAAACACATAACCTTCAGCATAACCTTCTCATCATATGATAACAAACCCAGAGAGTTATGTTGTTCTTTGTCTTTATGATTTCTGCATATGCAGCAACCTAGAGAACAACAAACCCAAAAAAGAGTACATTGTCATCATAAACCCAAAGAACATCAAACCCCCCTTAGCATAAAAAAGAAAACCAAAACTTCCAATACAGCAAAAGCCACATAAAATCACCTAAACACTAGTATAACATAAGCTTCACAAGCTAAACCCTAGGAGCAGAAGGCACTCAGCAACCCAAGGAGCACAAATTCCTCACTAAACACTCGTGGAGCATAATTTTCACATGCCAAACTGAAAGCAAAAAAAAATACAGTAAAATTTCTAAAATCACATAACATAAGAGGAAGGTAAAGAGGAGCTGGATGCCTAAGCCTAGGTATCTGAAACCGAACGAATTCAAAAACGAGATGAGCAACGAGAATTGCAAAGAGCAATGTGTCATTGAGGTTTAACTTCAATATCATCAGGCGAGACACACCTGAACAGAAAAAGGCAATTGAGCAGTTAGAGTTCCAAAATGAGAAAAGAGTAAAGAGAGGATAGTAAAGGAGAAGGCTTCGAAATATGAGAAGAAATGGCGGGCAGTATGTTTATCTCAGAAGTCCGTGAACACTTAATTTCATGGTGGCGGAATAGAGAATGTCGTCGTGGATGGCACCCCAAACAGCACAAAATCCCGGCACAATTCCGCGCCGCTCTAGTGTTGCTGTCCCAAATAGACCCTAAGTCACCTTTATGACTATACCTTTTTTCTGAGTATACATATCCAACTCTTCCAAAAAATAATAATAATTAAAGCTATCTTCTATTTCAACGAATGGAGTATAAGTGTTGCAACTAGGGGAATCTCCTGGACTCCCTCGGATAAGGAGCCTAGAGAATACCGACACAAGAAGCACTAACCACGACTATAGTACCATCGCCAATAATTACCAATAATAGGAATCACCCCATAAGTAAATCAATTTTTTTTATCTTTGAACTCATAATGCTTGGGCACAACAATACTGATCTCATTCTATTGTTAAGGGGGTGCTGTTTGATAGCAGTATTGGAGCATGATTTAACATAAATCCGGCCAAACAGCAAAAATGACAACTTTAAATCCTATGTAAGTGCTTAAATCCCGTTTTTCATCCCTTTTGCCTTAAATGTAGGATTTCGTCAATCCCGTTGGAAGACGGATTTACGGGGTTTGGAGGAGCTGAGGGGCGCGAAGGCGGGTGGGATGAAGGGGAAGAAAGAAAAGGGTTACCTTCCTCAGTGGTATCGAGTAGGAGCGGAGTGGAAGGAGGAGAAAGTTGGGAGTTTCAGATGTCTTTTTGCGCCACGATCCTAAAGTTGTTGGGAGTTTCAGATGTCTTTTTGCGCCACGATCCCAAAGTTCTTCCCAGCCTTCCCAGCCTTCCCAGCCTTCCCAGCTAGCTCTAATCGACCCTGTATCGCGGGGTTTGAAAGCGGGAAGGAGGTAGTCGAGGGTTTCGGTCGGTAGTTGTTAGGTTTGTGGGTTAACTTAATTTAATTGACTAAAAAATAATAAAGCGGGAAGGAGGTAGTCGAGGGTTTCGGTCGGTGGTTGTTAGGTTTGTGGGTTAACTTAATTTAATTGATTAAAAAATATTAATTAATTAATTAATTATCAAAATAATTATGATTAGATAAATTTATATATAATTATTTAATAATTAATTATTAAAGTAAATTAATAATAAAATTTAAATTTAATAAAACTTTAACTATTTATGAATTAGTTTAACAAATATCTAATTAAATTATTTATTAATGAATGTTAAATTATTTTAATAAATAATTAATTCAATAAATACATAATTATTAATTTCCATAATTATAACTAAAGTAAATTTTGACTGAACTTAGTATTTATATTATTAATAGCAATATTAAAGTGATGCTTTAATTAATATCCTTAAATAGTGCATGTCAAAAAGATTTATATAATTTACATGACTTTAACATTTCTTATACAAAAATAATTGTCGTGATATAAACATCTCCATATTTATTAAATTCAAATTTATAAAATTTATTAAAATTTACTTAAGTTGAATTTTACTTGCAACAAGAAACTTCTAACTTTTTCTCACTATATAATAACTTAAAATCCTTCTAATTTCTTTCATCTCACACTTTTAATATCTAAGAAAAATATTGGTTGCAGTGGTCTTTGGTAATATATTGTCATCCCATAATATTGCAAAATAAATCATGAATTAACAATCAATTAGAATTTTATAAAAATAAAATAAATAAAAAAATATTTGAGGGAGTTCGATAAAATGGAAGTGTTCAATCTTTAATTATCATGTAGATCACGACCAAGGAATAAAATGTTGGTAGAATGAAAGAAAAGAGAGTAAGAGAAACAAGACAAGTAATGCTTCGTGAAAATAACCTTATTTAAGATCATAAGAAATGTATAGTAAATTACATGATTGTCCCTCATTTAATGGGGATGTTATCATAATTTATTAGTCATTACATCTTTACATATTTGTAACTAATTCATAAATGTTTTGACCATATAACGGTTGTTGGCGTCATTCCATATCTATAATTACCCTTAACAACGCTTTATATTCGTAACTATCTAGCTTGGTCACTTGGTATTCATTGGATCGGCCTAGGTCATTCGACCGACTAAATGATATGTGGTCACATTTGTTGAGGGAACCTATTGCAAAGTCACATTGCTCGTAGGAATGATGATTTCATCTGGCAAATGGTGTTTTATCGTGATCTGATAGGTAGCCTACATTTGGTTAATATATCTATATTGAAGGAATTCTCTCCAGGCTACTGTTGATTTTTGTAATGGTAGATGCTAGTTACATAAGCATCGACGCTGTCAAATGGTTTTCATTTGATCACCTTAAGAGGTTGATTAGTATAATGACAAATGTTCACACATCAATCCTCTTTGTGCAGGCATATTTCTGATGTACATAATTAGTTCCTTGATTCTCTTATTTTTTTTAAAAGTGACAATTGTCAAGAAAATAAGATAATTAAATTCACATAATGAGTAATAAATATTATCAATAATTATACTCCATCTACTTTCATGTTGTTTTTCCCTATAAATAGGGTGCGAAGTGTGCTTTCCTTCCTTCACATTTCTTGATTTTTATGCCTTTTAATCGGTCCTATCTGCAAACGACTATGTCAGGTTCTATGAAATTGGTGAGTGAGGAAGTACTAATGAGGGCATTATGGCTTCCTACTTCAAAAACTCACCCTTATGGGGGATAAGAGAAAGAAAGCTGAAAGTTCTCGCCCGGTCCAAAAGAAAAGAGCAGGTGAAGAGGCCCGACTAATTAAGAAGAGAAAGAAAAATGAGAGAAAAATGGTTGGTACCAAAAGGTCGGTCAAATTGACCAAACCTAAGGGATTTAAATAATTAAACAGCCGACAACAAAGAAGCTACGAGTAGAAGTGGTTGGGTAATCGTCTAATTTGATACCACTTCTAGAGGTGTGGAGTCGTAAAGGTGGGCATGTTTTAGATTCGATACCACTTTGCCAGCTTCCAGCTCAAGTGTCATCTCAAGATAGAGAATTATTGGCGATGATCGTGCATGTTCTGCCACCAAAATTTTCTCTGCTTCATCTGCTCAAAGTGATGCTCCACCTTGGTAGATGATCTACTTTAGCATTTACCTGACAAAGCTGTCTAATCTGCCGACTGAAGTTAGTCCTCCTCTGCCTTTGGTCGAAGGGGGTCTCTAGGGTGGTGCTTCTTTTTTTACAGAGTTTTCGTAAATCGGAGATAGAGCGCATGATTAAAAGTGACAATTGTCAAGAAAATAAGATAATTAAATAATAAGATTGTTCACATAATGAGTGATAAATATTATCAATAATTATACTCCATCTACTTTCATGTTGTTTTTCCCTATAAATATGGTGCAAAGTGTGCTTTCCTTCCTTCACATTTCTTGATTTTTCTGCCTTTTAATCGGTCCTATCTGCAAACGACTATGTCAGGTTCTATGAAATTGGTGAGTGAGGAAGTACTAATGAGGGCATTATGGCTTCCTACTTCAAAAACTCACCCTTATGGGGGATAAGAGAAAGAAAGCTGAAAGTTCTCGCCCGGTCCAAAAGAAAAGAGCAGGTGAAGAGGCCCGACTAATTAAGAAGAGAAAGAAAAATGAGAGAAAAATGGTTGGTACCAAAAGGTCGGTCAAATTGACCAAACCTAAGGGATTTAAATAATTAAACAGCCGACAACAAAGAAGCTACGAGTAGAAGTGGTTGGGTAATCGTCTAATTTGATACCACTTCTAGAGGTGTGGAGTCGTAAAGGTGGGCATGTTTTAGATTCGATACCACTTTGCCAGCTTCCAGCTCAAGTGTCATCTCAAGATAGAGAACTATTGGCGATGATAGTGCAAGTTCTGCCACCAAAATTTTCTCTGCTTCATTTGCTCAAAGTGATGCTCCACCTCGGTAGATGATCTACTTTAGCATTTACCTAACAAAGTTGTATAATCTGCCGACTGAAGTTAGTCCTCCTCTGCCTTTAGTCGAAGGGGGTCTCTAGGGTGGTTCTTCTTTTTTTACAGAGTTTCCGTAAATCGGAGATAGAGCGCATGATTAGTAACCTAGATTTTTCTTTTATCCAGTCTTTCAATTTATTCTTATGACACAAATTCTGATATTATAGAGGAAACCGTGGATATAGAGGCTCTCCATGCTCAAGTCGTAGATGTGGAGGTTCTCCTTGCCCAAGCGTGGGCCTCGGTTGCAAATGTGGAAGCTCTCCAGGCTAAGGCAGTAATTCTACAGGGTGAACTGGCTGAATTTTGTGCACCAGTTTGATGTCCTATGTTAACAGACAGAAAAAAAGATAGCGAAGTATAAGTTTGGTGGGCGTGCATTGTATATGAGTATGATGAATCGAGGTTTGTTCTTGCCCTAAGCGCCAGATGACCCGCTGTAAAATATTTCTTTTTTATAAATAAAATTTCATAGTCATTTTCATAATTTAGTCATCATTATTTTCTTGATTTTTGAGCTGAAGTGACATATTGACGAAACTCGTTGTGGCACTTCGGCTTCCTCATAAGACCCATATAGAGGTTTAAACAGACGTTAAGTTAATTTTTTGCAATTTTCACTTGCTAATTTTCAGATTTTAATGGATCGCATGTACTCTCCTCAAATTTTTGGCTTAGTTAGATCGATTGAGAGATCAATACTCACCGATTTCAATGTTAAGTTGTTGGACGAGACTTGTGTCTATAACACAAGTGTCATCTCGGAGCAAGTAGGTGTGAATGTCCGGGCTACTAAATAATTGAATGATGAATGATCAGACCTGCAATTACGCAACTATTTAGCTTCCAAAAGATAAAAAAAAACTTGACCCAATTTGTACTTAGCAGCTAGTTTGCAAAATTGATATGTTACAAAATTTTTAATTAATAGTTTACACACAAGGGGTAGTACACAAGTATACGTATCGTTTTAAGTAAAATAGTGATTTCTTTAAAGAGCCCAGTATCGATCCCACAGAGAAGCGAGGTAAGAAATCTCTTAAGTTAATTCTAGTCTACTACTATAAGGCCTTAGTTTGGGATTTTTAAAAAGTTTAGTTTTTCTAAACTCACTAATTTAATTTTAATTTAAAATTAAATAAAAACCTCAATTACAGAGGCTGGATAAATTTTCGAAAATTTATATATATATATATATATATGTAAAATCCCTTTCCCCTTATGATGAGATCATAATTAGTGTAGGAATCACATATTTAAAGATTTAAATGTAGTTTCGTGAAATATTTGAGCATACATATCATTTACCCTCTTACAAGTGCATAAAGAAAATTGGTTAATCCAAAGTCAAGTTCCTAAATCCTTAGCTAGGCTGGGAAGATACTAGCTCTCACTCTATAGTTCATACTATCTCTTTGCTTGGGGGCTAACATCTAGCCTTAGTTTCCCAACTTCTGGATCAAATTGGAGGTTCTAGCTTATCACTCTATAATCACCAATTTAAGCTCATCAAAACTTATTTTTCTATCTATTTGCACTTTTCTTAGATTGTAGTCTCCTCCTCTTAAGGTTAATGTGGTACTCACTAGTTTGGTGAAATCGTATTCCTCTCAAGTCACTATATTTCACAACGAATTTTAACATTCCAAGTGATCACTTTGTAAAGTAAATTTAGGACTGGTGAAAATATCATCAAAATTTTGAAATCTTCAAACCTTTCTAATCCTACACATAATTAATTCTCATCACATGGAGAAAAAGTAAAGAACAATACTCACTAAGCATGAAGAAAACACATGGATTCTTCATTATAAATGAC